CCTTGTCTGTTTTTTCTAACTTTCTTGGAATACTGACTGTCTACTTCTCATAAATAATAAAAGAAAACCACAATCCAGTCCAGTGTGACAAGTGCTGTCCGAGATTAGAAAGAAAAGACAGTACTGAGAGCGAGGCCTGGCGCATTCAGGTGGCTGTAAACCGTTAGCGGTTACTCGGTGGTAGTGTGGTTGAGGTCCAGGGAGGTGAGGCCGTAGTGAGTGTCTGACCTTGTTCCCCTCGCCCCTCCCTGCCAGGTGGAAATGCTGGAGAGGAAGTATGGGGGCTCCTTCCTGAGCCGGAGGGCTGCCAGGACCATCCAGACGGCCTTCCGCCAGTACCGCATGAACAAGAACTTTGAGCGGCTCCGCAGCTCAGCTTCGGAAAGCCGCATGTCCCGACGCATCATCCTTTCCAACATGCGGATGCAGTTTTCCTTTGAGGAATACGAGAAAGCACAGAACCCCGCGTACTTCGAGGGCAAGCCTGCCTCGCTGGACGAGGGTGCCATGGCCGGTGTCCGGAGCCACCGGCTTGACCGGGGGCTCCCATATGGAGGCTCCTGTGGAGGGGGCATCGATGGTGGGGGAAGCTCTGTCACCACATCGGGAGAATTTTCCAATGACATCACAGAGCTCGAGGACTCCTTCTCCAAACAGGTCAGCATCCCTGAAAAGGGCCTTCCTGCCCCATCCCTATGCTCTGGTTACTCCTATGATTTTTTACCTAAAAGGTGTTGCCCGACAAACATTTAAGCTACCATGAGTAGGGACTGTGAGAACAGTGAGAAAGAATTGGCAAGACAAAAAATTATATTGTTAAAATCTGGGTGTATGGAATACATAAGAAAATTGAAGTTCTCACTCTTTGGAACTTGATCAACTATCAAATTAAGGCCTAACTAACAGGCGATGAGCCCCTGGTGTGTGCACCACATAGTGACCTGTGAGATAGGGGTCCAACTTTACAGAGGAGGCGACTGAGACCCTGAAAGCTGAAGTGACTTTTCCAAAATGGATTGGAACTCAGCTCTGTGTTTCCAGAGCCCATGCCCTTTCACTTACACCACAGAGCTCCCCCTATGCTGGGCGCGATGGGGGAGACGGGTGAACCGCCAGGGTCCCTGTTCTCAAAGATCTCCCAGATCAGTAGCTCTCAAGGATCTAATGGCCGACACATGTGTGTGTGACTGTCTCCCGAAATAGAGGTGTGCTCAGAGCCATGAGAAAGGATCACATATAGTAACCTGAGAACCCAGAAGAAGGAGAAGAAACTTTCTGGGAGGACCAGGGAAGGTTTCTTTGTCAAGATTTTGCAAGTTAGAGCTAGTTGGCAGGGTGTTGCTTGCATAGACATTTCATCAGCAAAAGCTTGGAAGGGTGGGAATGTAGCAGGCACTGATAGTGGGGCATCATTCTAGGCTTGGGTATGTCAGCACAGCTGCTCGAGTGCAGATTCCAGTCCTGCCACTTCCCAGCTATGTGACCTTGGGCAAACTGTTTAACCTTACTGGAACATGATGAATAAAATGGAGATAGCCCTAGCTAGTTTGGCTCAGTGGCCTGTGGACTGAAGGGTCCTGGGTTCAGTTTCAGCCAAGGGCATGTACCTCGGTTGTAGGCTCGATCCCCGGCCCTGGTCAGGGCCTGTGCGGGAGGCAACCAATCCATGTGTCTCTCTCACATCGATGTTTCTCCTCCTCTCTCTCTCTCTCCCTTCCACTCTCTCTAAAAAGCAATGGGAAAAATATCCTCAGGTCAGGATTAAAAAGAATAATGATAAAATGGAGATAAAACTTTCCTTTTAGAGTTGTTTTGGAGATTCAGTTCAGCTGGGTAATGTATAGAAAAACACCTAGTATGTGGTCGGTACTAAGTACATGTTAGTTTCCTCCTTAAAGCCAAGAAGGTAAATTGTTGAATGAATGAATGAATGAATGAATGAATGAAGCTTTATAAGAGAAGAAATCACTCTGCCTAACTTCTGTGATCTGGCCCTGCCATCAGCCTAGACATGCCTCCCTGAAGCTTGTGAAGGGGTATGTGGGGTGAGAGGTAGAGGGGAGGAAAGAAGTATTAAAGAAAAATCTAAATCATTCATCTATTCACTCATACAACCAACATTAGTTGAACATCTCTTCTGCATCAAGAAATGTGTTGAGCTGAGTTAGAAAGAGAGAAACTGGGCCTGGAACTATCCTTCAAGGGGGAGTAGAGGGAAGAAGCTCAGAGTTTGGTAGAGAGATCAAAGAACCAGGCCTAGGCCCAGCTCTCAGTGCTATCCAAGTCTGATGAGGAAGTGTATTAGTTATCTATTGCTGCATAACAAATGACTCCAAAAGTTAGTAGCTTAAAACTATATTTAAAGAGTGAGCTGAAACAACAAACATTTATTATCTCTGAGGGCCAGGTATCTGGGAGTGGCTTGGCTGGTGGTTCTGGCTCAAGGTCTCTCATGAGCCTGTAATCAAGCTGTAAGGTGGGATGGCAATCTCAGAAGACTTGACTGGGGCTGACAAGTCTGCTTCCAAGCTCAGTCGCTTGGCTCTTGGCAGGAGGATTCATGTTGTCACTACATGGGCCTCTCCATAGGACTGCTTATGCCATGGCTTCCCGTAGAGCAAAGGGTCTGAGAGAGAGAAAGCACAAGCAAGCGAAAGCTCTCAGGACAGAAGCTGTAGTCTTTCATAACCTAATCTTATCTTAAGAAGTGATATCTTATCACTTCTGCCATATGCTACCAGTCCCACAGAATGGCTCCTGGGAGTTATTTTATATATTGCAGAGAGCCTGTGGAGGTGGGGGAGGGGAATCCCTTTTCTTGGCTGACCCATCGAGAAGGAAGTTACCCTTATTCCCTTTCCCTCCTCCCTCATTCTCATCCTTCTTCCATCGCCACCAACCTTCCCTTCATATTCCTTTTCTTTTTCTCCCTTTCCCTCCTCCCCTTTCTCTCCAAACACAGGTAAAGTCTTTGGCTGAATCCATCGACGAGGCCTTGAACTGCCACCCATCGGGGCCCATGTCTGAGGAGGCAGGGTCAGCCCAACTGGAGAAACGAGAGTCAAAGGAGCAGCAAGAGGACAGCTCAGCCACATCCTTCAGTGACCTTCCCCTCTACTTGGATGACCCAGTTCCCCCACCATCCCCTGAACGACTGCCCAGCACAGAGCCCCCACCCCAGGGCCGGCCTGAGTTCTGGGCACCAGCCCCTCTCCCGCCAGTTCCTCCACCAGGGCCACCAGGGACCCGGGAAGATGGTAGCCGTGAGGAAGGCCCTCGAAGGGGGCCTGGGTGCTTGGAGTGTCGGGATTTCCGGCTGCGAGCTGCTCACCTTCCCCTGCTCACCATTGAGCCTCCTAGTGACAGCTCTGTGGACCTGAGTGACCGCTCAGATCGCGGCTCTGTCCACCGCCAGCTGGTGTATGAGGCTGATGGCTGTAGCCCCCATGGGACCCTGAAGCACAAAGGGCCACCAGGCAGGGCCCCGATCCCACATCGCCACTACCCAGCCCCAGAGGGCCCAGCCCCAGCCCCACCAGGGCCCCTGCCACCAGCCCCCAACAGTGGCACTGGGCCCAGTGGTGTGGCTGGGGCTCGGAGGATGGGGAAGTGCGAGGCAGCAGGCGAGAACTCTGATGGTGGAGATAATGAGAGCCTTGAGAGCTCCAGCAATTCCAACGAGACCATCAACTGCAGCTCTGGCTCCTCTTCGAGGGACAGCCTGAGGGAGCCTCCAGCCACTGGCCTGTGCAAGCAGACTTACCAGCGAGAGACGAGGCACAGCTGGGACTCTCCAGCCTTCAACAATGATGTGGTGCAGAGGCGGCATTACAGAATCGGCCTCAACCTCTTCAATAAGTATGTGCTTCCCATTTCTGCCCCCCTTGCTCCTTCCTACCCTGCCACTAGGCTCTTTGACCCCTGGGGCTGAACTCCAAGCACTAATTTGCTTCTGCCAGCTTCTCATTTTGTGGATGTTGTTTCTCCCCAGCCGTTCAGTAAAGAGGATTGGCAACAGGGTGGCAGAGTAGAAATTCCCCCAACACACCCATAAGAGGTGCTGCTAGTCCTAGCACTGCCTCTGGCTGACTGTGTGATCTTGGGTGAGATGCTCCCCTCTCGGAGCCCCAGTTCACTATATATAGAATGGATTCTGATCCTGGGGTCCCCAACCTCCCTTTTTGGTGGGGAGCAAATGTGGTATATAAAGAGCTCTGTTCTGAGAAACAGGAGACTTGGACCCTATCCTCACTTTGGCCAGACTCGCTGTGTAGCTCTGGGCAAAGTGGGTTCCTTCCTTGGGCTTCAGTGTTTCCATCTATCAACTAGCAGGATGTGTATGTTTGAGGTATTGGGGGCAGGGTGGAGTGCTGGACTAGTCAGTAACCAAGACCAAGCTCTTTCTAGATGCCTGGTCCTGGGCCAGGTGCTTAGGAGTGGGGTGGGAGTGTGACATTTGATTTGAAAATAGAAAATAAATGCCTTACATCTGTAGCCTATCAGACACTGCCATCTATGTTTAGTTCTCAGAATAACTCAGCAAGGTGGGTGGTAGTGTCCCTATTTTATAGACAAGGAACTGAGGCATGGAGAAGTAAAGGGAACTGTCCCGAGTCATGCAAGGTAAGCGATGGGCCTGAGGCTCCAGTCGCACCAAAGTCTCTTCCAAATTTTAGCCTCGTGGGGTCTTAAGGCTCTGGGATTCTGAACATGGGATAGCTCAACCCAGATTTGGCCTAGTGGAAAGTAGGGAGCGCCTCGTCTATGGAAACGCTCAGAGGCTGGGTGATACCTGTATAGGTGGGATGTGAGATAAAGAACAAAGTCACCTCTTCACTTCTTTCCTACTTTGAGGGTCTGGGACTTGGAAAGAAGGGCTTAGCCTGAAGCTCAGGCCCTCTCCCAGGACTCCTCAGTGCCTGCTGGGAAAATCAAAGCTCTTGGCACAGAGTAGGCTCTCACTAAATCTCAGTTTTCTTTCCATTGTAGTGGCTCCAGTGAAGGAGGAAGTTGGGTTGAGGATGCCTTGGAATTTTGAAACTGTGAAATAAGAAAGTGGCTTCCTCTGCTTGGGCCTCAGTTTTCTGAAGGGACTGGACCAAATTATGTATTTGACTTCCTTGGTTCTCTGAGATCAGTTTTGGGCCCAAAATTAGTTCAGGCAATGGGACAGAGGGCAGAGGACAGTCATCTCACCTACCTCCCCTCTTTCTACAGGAAACCAGAGAAGGGTATCCAGTATCTGATCGAGCGGGGCTTCCTGTCAGACACACCGGTGGGAGTGGCTCACTTCATCCTGGAACGGAAAGGCCTCAGCCGGCAGATGATAGGGGAATTCCTAGGGAACCGGCAGAAGCAGTTCAACAGAGACGTGTTGGAGTGAGGACCCCAGGATGGGGCAGGCTGGGCCAGGGATTCCTGGAAAAGGAGGGCAGGAGGAAGGGAGGGGGCAGCCTGTCCTTTCTGCTCAGATAAACTTGCTCCCATACCCCTCTGCACCAAAGAGGTCTGATCTCTCTTGGCCCTATTCCCAAAGTCTTCTGGGTGGCCCCAGGTAAGGCATGCTTATCCTATGGCCTTCCTTGGGCCTCAGTTTTCCCATCTCTGAAATGAGTGGGTAATGGAAAGGACTCTTAGTAACCATGTGTCTGGACCGGATTTTCTAGGGTGGATTCAATTTCAAATGCTCTGTCCTCATCTGTACTTACTTGGGCCATGGGTCCATATTTTGTGGACATCTGTCAGTGGAGGAGTTTGTCCATTTGAGCAGGTCAGGGTGGGTCAGAGGTTTTCTGCAGAGGAATTGAGAGTGCCACACCCCCTCCTTTGTTCCTCAGCTGTGTAGTGGATGAGATGGATTTCTCCTCCATGGATTTGGATGATGCACTCCGGAAGTTCCAGTCCCATATCCGGGTTCAGGGTGAGGCCCAGAAAGTGGAGCGACTCATCGAAGCCTTCAGGTGCGCCAGCTTCCCACTGCTGAAGCTGCCTTTCCCTATTTCGGGGGGGAACATAGTGTGTCTTCAGATCACCTCTCTGAGCCTCACACTTTCCTCATCAGAAAATGGCACTTATAAATCTTATCTTGCAAGACAGTTAAGCTGTGAGGATCAGACGTAATGCACATAAAGTATCTAGCTTTGTATCTGGGACATGGGCCTCCAATAAGTGATGACGATGACATCAGCAACAGTAGCTAATGTTCGTTAAGCACTTACCAGGTATCAGGTGCTGAGCTGGGCACTTTACATGATTATTTTGCCGAATACTCACAACAACCCTATAAGGTAGGTGCTTGTATTATTATTTCCATTTTGCAGATGAGAAATTGGAAGTTTAGAGAGGTTAAGTAACTTGTCCAGAGTCATGCAGTGAGTAAGCAGTGGAACCAGGATTTGAACTCAAATATGTCTGACTCCATGTCCCTTAAACTCTTTTTTTAATCCTCACCCAAGGATATGTTTTTAGAGTGAGAGGAAGGGAGAAAGAAAGAGAGAGATATTGATGTGAGAAACATTAATCAATCTGTTGTTTCCTGTACGCTCCCCGACTGGGGATCGAACTCGCAACCTGGGCATGTGCCCTGACCGGGAATTGAAACTGTGAACTTCAGTGTTCGGGACAACGATCCGACCAACTGACCACACTGGCCAGAGCATGACTCTTCTTTTTTTTTTTTTTTT